TTTGAATTTCCATAAATAGTTTTGCGCTATCACTTTTGTTGCGAGAAAAAAGTATCGTTTTTTATGCATAATATTCAAAAGGAGATAATAGTGATTGATATTATTTGACCCATATCGTTATGAAAATAAAATTGAACATTGAATAATTTATTACCAAAATGATCAGTGTAAAAAGCTCTACAAGTACTGAAAGTTGCACTGAATTTGAAAAAGGTGATCGAATCAAGTGGTCAGATTTGACGAATATATTTATCAAAATTTTGCTGAAAAATGGTAATCTGGCGTATTGTGGACCATTGTTCCTTTCTAAATTTAGAGTGGCGGCTAAACTAAATAGTGCATCTTGTAGAGCATGTTTTGCTCTATCAAACTGCTAATACCACCATTCTGGTTCATTCCAACTTTCTGATCGATTTTTTCAAACACTGTTCTTCTCTAGTGCATTACTTAGGGACCTAGTGGACCTATAAAATTCGTCAAAAGTATTTTAATTCCTATGGATTCTGATGCAGTTTTTCACGGGGAATCTAAATATGTGGTTGGTTTTAAAATTCGAATAAAAAAGTGAGACTTTCGTCGCTATTTTGATCAAAATGCAGATTTTATTTTTTCTGTTTTAAAAAGTGTATTTTTCGTATTTGACTTGTATCTTCGCGAAAACAGAGCTTATTTTTGAAAAATTTTATTACCAAAATGATCAGCGCAAAAAGCTCTAGAAACTCTGAAAGTTTCAACAAATTTAGACGTGGTCGCCGGATGAACCTGGTGACATCCGATGGAATGACCCATATACAGACATCACCATATGTCCATATCACATGGCTTATCTTTCATAGATAAATACTGACATAATTGCATGAGTTATGTGCACATTTAAAACAGCTCATAAGACATTGAACTCATGAAAATCATACGAATAAGCACATTTGAAACAATCAACTCCGATAAAATAATAAAAGCTTTTCTGTTCAAGACAATGGAATGCTCTTTGTTATTGAGAATATTTGAATCCATGTACTCATATAGATTCTTTTTGGTATGTCGTTATAAGCTTTGTTATTTAAGTTTTGAATTTTTATTACAAATCGAATCGTTTTGAATGTAAAACTGAAGAAAAAAAAAGACAAAAAGCCCGTTTGAAATATAATTAAAATTAGCTCCAAGCATCACAGATATCATTTTAATAATTGTGAAAGATGGCTGAATCCAATGGCGTATTACTATCTATAGCTTTCGATGTAGGCGAACTTTTATTGGTTATCTGTGCAGCTCGTAATTTTTCTCTTAAAGTATTTCGTCTGTGATCATCCTCACACGTATTTCAGCAAGAATCCAAACACGTGAATAAGATGTTTAAGTATCTACTTTAGAACTTTATGAGCATGAAAAAAAAGTTCGACAAGGGATAGTAATAAAATAAACCGAATAAAAGAACTGTTACAATTGTTACATATCAAATAAAAATTTTTTCATAGAAACTTAAAAATAAAAACAACCTTTCACCAAAATGCATCAGATTCATGCTATAGATATAAGCACGGAAGAAGAATGACAATATATAATGTCAATAATAACATATAGGTCATTAGTTTATTCTTGTTTTGTCTGTGAAATAATAACATGGCTGTTCTTTATCAACGAAATGAAATTAATTTCGAATGTACAAGCACATCAGTAACAGTACCAAACAATGATGTTGCACGGCTGATGTATTATCTAAATTGTGTGTGTGTTGCAATCGACTGCAATCGTGATCCTGATATTCAACGGTTCACAAGTTATAAGAATTGGTCTTATTTATCTATTGATGAACAAAAAGCACTTATTGCTGTCTGCTATGTTTTTAGTCCCGATGTTTTAAATAATCGTGTTTTTTTTTCATAGTGATGCTCTCTGTCGTGACAGTTCAAATAAATTCTATAAAATACATCAAGTTCGTCATCAATTAGTAGCAGCTGAATCAATTGTTATAGCTGGACAAGTACGAGAAGTGAATCAAATAATGACATATAAAATAGCATGGATGAAAACTTATTATTATGAACCAATGCAAAGACTTGTAGCAAGATTCGATACTTCATCTCAAACGAACACATATAGACCAACTTATACGCCAAGTGTTGTACAACAACCATATATAAAAAATAGTTCCTCTTCATGTACTTCTCGTCGCATCTGTTATGCATTTTGTTGTGTCTTTGTCATAATTCCATCAATCATTGGTATCATTATTGGTATTATTAAAGCTACGAAGTAGTACTATTTTTTGACATTCAGTATATTGCATCTTTTTATCTTTCTTTTGTAACTTTCTGATTATTCATTAATTATTCACATGAAGACAATAAATGTTTTGAACAATTTTCCATAATCTAATAAATACAATTTATTAGCCTGCACACATAAACTTCAATTCAACAAGAGCCGACTTAATGTATAATCATGTAGATTTATCAGAATATTTTTCTATTGTATTTTTCATATTCATTAACTATAAAGAATACTTGTAAGATATTTCGTTGAAATTTATCATTCTTTGTCTAAAACATAATTAGACATCTACATGAAATTTTGGGTAGGAAAAAACCTAACAAAAGTCATATCGGCAGTGTCTCTATGATTCATCTTCGATAAAAGATGCAAAAATAACAAACTACATGTAGTCAATGCTAAAGATTTCAATTTCGGTTAGATCGAAGAAAAATGAAAGTCAGTAGTGCAAACATATTTTATTATTCTTCTATTCCATTGGTATTATCCTAAAGAAAACTTAACCATAGATGTATGGAATAAATGATGATTCTTGTATAGATTTTTTATCTCACTGATACGTTACATTATGATATTAAAAACTATAATATTCGCCACAAAGTTACGTATGCAAGAATAATAGTCTAGTAAAATCAATGTATTTAAATTTGTACAATTAGTCTTGGTTAATATTATCTACGTTTGACAGAATCTGAGCAAATTCAAACCAATATATTATTTATAATCAATCGATCATGTATAACATGTTGATATGATTAGTTTGTATCATCATTCGTCAAGTACACAAAAAGAGATGCTTAATAGAATTGTCTCGCTGTCGCTATGCATTAGAAGAACTCAGCAATCAAAATAGACATGAATGCTGGATAAATGCATAGTTTCTACATTACTAATTCTTATCCGTATCAATTCTTTAATACACACTGAATGACACAAATGAATTACAAAATAATTCAAAAATTCTGTATTCTATACATATATTGATTTATTTATAGAAATGTATGTACATAATTAATAATAAGTTTATTATTATCTACCAGGATCTATAGAGTCTAGATAGGGTCTAAATGGTCTACTAGGGTCTGCTAGGATCTATAGGATCTCGATGTGGGTGCTGCGAAACGACTTGCACTAAGTCTCTCTCGATGCAAATACCGCGAAATCGTGGCAGACCCTATTAAACCCTACTAAAACTAATGTAGAGAATAGAGAAGTTTTGAATTATTTTGTAATTCATTTGTGTCATGAACTCTTAATACAAGAACTAAGTCAGGTTTGATCTTGTAAAATAACTTATTTTCATTATATGCATATCTCACTACGAAGATGATTTACTCAACAGTCATGAATTAAAACAACAAAGTCTGACGTATAGGTATATGCATCGGATACTTAAAGAAAGAAAAAAGGACATGTATTTGATGAGAATCAGTGATATGTAACAAATGCAACTTTGTTATTGATGTAGCAAGGTAGAACACAACTCTTGTTATATTTAGTAGATACAAAAAAACGAAAGTTGGAAAAAAATTTAGAAGTTACATCAGTATGAGAGCAAAAGTAGACCAGTCATATTTTTATAAAGTAATCATTTTAAAGTTTTTTTTTAATTAGAAAAGAGATGACTATCTTCGTTTAAGAGATAACGATTGAATTCAAACGCACATAAATAAGACCTAATCTAGTTAGAAATGATATGGTAAATCTCGCTTATATATATGAAATGTGTATATGCAACAATGGATTACAGTTATGATCAAGATATTCAGAATGTAAATGTTTGGTGTTCCAACTAATTTTTTTTCCGACTCGGTTTATGTTGAAAAAAAATCGTTTTTAAGCCCTCATTTATCAACTAATTAACATGAGCAAAATGAATAACAGAAATAGTTTATTGTTTTATTCTAAATGTTGAAAGACTCAATCACATATGTTGGTAACAAAGAAAGAAAAAACACAGCAATCACAACAAGATAGACTTTAGTTCTGTACCAAAGAAGTTTTTTATCATACGATTGGATTTGATGACTAGTTTTATTTTGTCGAGCTCTCCTCTCTCTCGTATGCTAGAAATAGGTCAATCAACTTTTAGATATTTGTATCATAGAATAGTTTGTGAATGTGAATTGAAGATAAACATCCTACAAGGGAAATTGATTGAATTTGAAACCGACTAAAATCGATATGGGTCCAATTCTGAATCTATTAAAATGGTACGCATTTAATCATGATATCTGCAACGGTTGTATTTTGTTTCAAAGTAATGGTCAATACAACAGCAATGATAATGAATCAGAGGTGGAACCGGTCCGGCTATCCGGCTCCGGTCGGGCCCAATCAGACTGGACAATACCGGACAAGAAGTTAAACCGGGCCGGACAGGACCGGATTTTTGCCAGTTCATCATTACAAAATTGGTTTTTGCATCCAAGAATTTTCTCTACTGAAAACAGTTTTTTATGATATTTTCAAGTCAGAAGAATGAGTTTGCGAAAGACTCAATAGATATCTTGTCTTCTACTTGACTATAAACGATTGGTTGTTCTCTTTATATCTCTATCGATTTCTTACTCGTGTATCGCTCAATTTGACCTTGATCAAATAATTTATTCTCTTGTTCTATTTAGGCAGCTGCCTGAATCAAGAAAAATAAATATTTACATTTTTGTGTTAAATTTTTGTTATAAACTTGTTTTTTTTATCATTTTTGAAATTAAGATGAAAAACAGATTTGATCTGTATAACTAATTTATATCGATGTCGGGCTCGAGAAGTCGACGCACCTAGCTATAAAATATGAAGAGAGAGTTTCAGTCCCAGGTTTTAGTTTCCAGTTAGGATTAGGGGTGGCGATTTGCTGTTAATTTATTATAATTTTAAATTGGATCTACATAAATTTAAATTTTTTAAAATTTATTTTTGGGTTTATAAATTTTTCGTAAATGTAAATTGATCACCCCGTAGTTCGGATTCTTGCATGTAAATATTCAATTCCTCTCCGCCAACATTTTATGTGAACAGATACCTTTATGGTCGTTTATTTTCGCCGGATTTTTGCCAGTTTGGCTGTAAAATTCGTCCGGTCGGTTGCTGACCGGACCAGACCGGACAGAAAAAACCTGTCCGGTTCCACCTCTGTAATGAATCTTACATGATTATAATCAAGTATGTAATCAACTAATAGTGACTGCAGCCATCTTTATAGAACCCCGTCAAGTAGAAGCGGACAATCAAAATAATGATATACAAAATAGAATTGATCATTCGAAATATTTTCTTTTGACTTCATGACTGATTTCTTTTTATTTTTCTATTTATGTTGAATACCCGTATAATTCTTTGAAAATTTAAAATTCTTAATTTAAACAAAATTCAATGAGATATTTTCTAATATATAGACGTATTGATTACTTGACAATATTTGATTTATTGTAAAGAACTATGCAACTCATATATAAAACTAGATTTTATAGTTAATGACGTTTTTATTCAAAATAAGATTTATTTACAACATTAAATCATTTTCTCACTATAAAGACTAAAATTTTTGTTTAGACAAAAAAGAGTGTAATTAAAAATAAGTCAGAAACAATTGTAAAATACATAGCAAATAGATTATAATTACATTGTCGATGATTCATCATTACGAATTCGAACGTCGATTTGTAAATAGACTTGAAATGTCTAGTTGATATTGGTAAAGAAATTAGTTATATTTCGCTTTTTCTTTGATGCTGAAGCTATTTTTTGTTCTCGTTCTTGTTTTATTTTTTCAAATTCTTGAAGAATAAGTTGACATACTTTTGGATGAAAATCCGATCTAGCTGCTGCCATTTTAACAGCTGCTGAGATTTCTTCATCTTCATTTTCTTGAAATTCTTCATCACATTTAATTGGTGATGCTGTATCAAATAGTTTTGTTGAAATACGTCTTCCTTCATTTCTATAAGTTTCTACTGCCTTTCTCACACTGGCGTAAGTACCACGACTTATCCAAGTGACTGATGAGAGTGTACCCACTGCTGGTTTTATGGCAATATTGACCGTAGCTATTAATGATCCAGCTGCACCACCTAGTACTCCATGACGTTCATAGCCAACGCGTGGTTGCTTTACAATACCTGTAACACCATCTTTCCAGCCATTCCATAAAGAAAGACCAGCAGCCTTAGCACCCGATTTAAAATCAGTGACACGTGGTCGTTGACGTTGATGTACTTTGGGATTACTACAATGAATTTTATATTATTTCATTGACATATAAAAATTATTCAAATATATCTTACCTATACGGATCATAAAGTGTAGTAACACAATTGAGTGCATCAGTCATTTCACCATATAATGATAGACATCCTATAGTTAGATGACCAATGCCTAAACCAAAACCTTTAGCAACAGTTCCAACACTTTCAAGTGTTCGAATAGCTGTTCTATCATTATCTTTCTTGACAGTACGTTTCAAGTCTTCAGCTGTATCAATAAACATACTTGAAAAAGCTTTTTGTGAATGTTCAATAATACCATGAGTAGGTAAATGCATACGATTATCATGCATAAATTGCCATTCTCGTGTAACATGAGAATTAAGTTCAGATTCTTCTAAAACACCTGCTGCTACGAGTACTTGAGCAACAGGACGTGATATTTGTATATTATATTTATCCAAACGATAACAAGCAGCAAATGTTGGTTCTAAATCACTATGCATACGTGTTAATGGTAAATTAGCATGAAATGCATGAACTGCTGCTGCACATCCATCTTCTTTTAAAATACAATCACGAATACGTTCAGCAGCAGCACGTGTTGTTGATTTATGAACAAAATAGAAAGCATCAACTAATTGTTTAACAGTAATCGATTTTCCCGGAAGTGGACATGGACCAGCGCCGCTTTTTTCGATTACATTACCCCAAAAAAATTGATCACCAAAAAATGGTACAATAATTGTTGGCTTGCCAGCTCGTAGACCAGCTGCTGTTGTACCTGCTCCACCATGATGACATACAGCTGATACTATAAAATGAATAAGATATTTTTAGTATATTTAATGACAATAGAAAATTATAGTTACCATATTGAAAAAGCCAATCATGTGGTACATTACCGATTTTAAATATATTAGAAGGTAGTTGATCTGTATCTGTAGCAAGACCAGATAATAGAGCTCGATATCCAGTTTCAGTAAGAGCATCAACAACAATTCGAAGAATACGACGAGAATCATGACCTGTAATCGAACCAAAACCAATATAGATTGGTGGTGGTGGTGGTGGTGGTAATTTACGACCATTCGAATTGCCATCATTATTGATACCAAGAAATTCAAGTAAATCTCTCGGTGGATTAGTATAAGCAGTACCAAGATTAAGAAAGAAAAAACCTGAAACATCAATATGTGATCCCCAATCATTAGGTTTTGCAACAAGTGATGGTGACCAACAATAAGTGTGAGGTACACATTCATCAATTAATGCATTTGCTGCTTGACGTATATGTAATTCCCTAAGACCTAATGTTTTCTTACGAAAATCATTCATAATATCACGCAATCCGGTCCAAGTCTATAGAATAAAATAAAGAAATTAAAAAACAAAACAATTATTTGTCGTTTCTTTTTTATCAACTTACTAGCATTTCAATCACATCATATGAATATAAATTAATTTTATGTTTTGGTCCAATTGAACTTTCAATATTCGACAATGGATGTGGAAAAGCAATTGTTGGTGACCAAGGCATTGTAAACATAATATGTAAAGGTATTTGTAATTTTTCTGCACAATGAATATGACCAAATGATGGTGGATTTGCAATAATTGCTTCAGCTATAAATGGTGCATTTGTTTCATCATCATTGGCTATACATGCTTGCCATGTAGAAGCAAGAATATCGGCAAGAGAACGACGTTTTTTTCCAACATCACCTTCAATAATACTACTTAATGATGGAATTATACCAGCATTTTTAACCATAAATGACATTAAATCAGCTGGATCACCAGCTAATGGATAAAATTCTAGATTATTACCACGAACAAATGATCGAAATGTTTCATGTGTTGCTAATCGAACACGATGACCCATTGTACGAAGTGCTTGACCAAGCCTTAAGATAAAAAAAAAAATCGAATTTTCAAATTTTTTTTTTTAAAATGTCATTTAACTTACGCAATAAATGGTTGTACATCACCTCTTGTACCAACAATAAGTATTACAATAGCTAGACGAGGTACAAGAAGATCATCGTCGATATTTTCTTTAATTTCCTTTATTTGATTTTCTTGAATAATGGATTGTGATGAATCTTTTAATGATGATAATGGTATTGGTGAAGTTTTGGATTTTCGTTTTGGATTAAACATTACATCAATACGTCCATCAGCATCATCAACACTAACCTTATAATCAAGAATATCATTTGGTTTTTTATCATAATCTTTATATTTATTAAGATTATTTTCATCCATTATTACTTGTCCAACAGCATAAATAACTTTACCATAGATAAGAAGACAAGAATGAAGTAAAAGTTTTGTATTTATACAACAAATAATTAAAATATTATCATGCTTATTTTCATTATCTAACAATTTTGAAGATAATTCAATTGGATCTTTTAATGGCATCAATGAACCTGAAAATATTTGTATACTATTAAGCCATATAGTAGCATTGATAGTAGAATTTTTATTATAATTATTCAATGATATAAAATTAAGATAGATTTGTTGTTTCGATGTTTGATTTTTAGATATCCAATCAAATTTTTTATAATACCACCATTTACATGGTTGTCTATCATTGTTAATAGTATTAATA